ACTTTGATTTTTAGGTCTTTGAACCTTTGAATTGAGATTATTAATCCTTGGTATTTTTTATTGGTTTGGGGGGTTTGAATCGAATGTATAATGATTTCCATTATTTTTTACTCAAAATGAGTCAACCTCGGGTATTATTTGCTAACTTATTTTGACATGTGCTCAGATTGAAGTCTCTAGAGATAAGAACAGAAGCTAGCAAGGATACTTTGAATACCATAAATTGTGTGTTTATCTTGAACTATGTTATGATATTGTATTGTCACAACCTCATTATTTTTGAACTTTTAAACTTGTTTTAAATTATAAGACCTTATGTTTTTCCACAATTAAAAACTCTGAATTTTTGGTATTTAAAAATAAATGTTTTTAAAAGGTCATTTTAAACTACCCTAGCAACGGGTGTTTCGACAAGGTTTATTGGGTCGTTTATATAAATTCATGATCCTGATACTGCTATGAAGTACATGCCTTTGGTGATAGAAGATTTCTTGAAGATGCCCATGTTTTATAAGCAAAAGAAGCCTCCAGATCTTCCTTTAGATTCTACAACCAATTAATTGAACTTTAAGGAGTCCCAAAATTTATTGAGAGATATATTATAGGTACTAACTAATGGAGATTAGTGCCCATAATCATAACAAGCCTGATAATATTACTATAAATACCAATGTCCTTTTGGGTTACACGAAAGAACAAACTAAAGCAGATCTGAAAAGATATTTATTTGAAGGACTTATTTTGTTAATTAATTAATAGTAAATAAAGTAATATGGGATTTTTCAGAATGATTTGAATATCATATATAATTATAATTAATTTTTGTAATTATCTCTAGGGTTTCAAATCACATCCCTATAAATAGAGGGCTCCAAATCCGGTTTTGACACTTGTGAAAAATACCTCTTAGTCTCAAAAGTTCGAAATCCTCAAAAACCCTAAGAAATCCCAAAGTGCAGTTCCTACGTCATGACAGGTTGTTTACCACGTCATGGTCAACCACATAATCGATTTTTCGGTTATGTTTGAAGCTCACAGTTCGAGGGTTTCTTACATCAACTTGTGTCTTGTTTCTTGTGTGCAATTTCAGAAGAGGAACTCTACGTTAGGTTCTCTAGTCCATTCAACTGACTTGTCAATAGAAGAAACCTACGAAGAAATCAAATGTATGATTCCATTCTATTGTGTCCTAATGTGTTGCATATATTAGTTGAGTTAGATCTAGTTGTTTCGAGTTGTGGATCATAATTGTTTGTTGTTTTTATCGCCCAATGGGAGACCTTAGATAGGCTCGAAACCCATCATTAACCATTTGAGTCTCTTGTCTGTTGACGAAGAAGATTTCATGGTCCTTCTAGATTGAGGAAATCTATTCAACTTTGTCGTCTCGACTACTACTCTTTTGAAGTTGAGTGATTATATATCCATTAGGCAACACACTAGTTTTCTGCTCCTACTATGACAACATGGAGTGCTTGGCAGGTAGCGTCCATCTGAATACCAACCTCTTGGCCTACATCAATTGTTTTTGTAACTTCAAGAATGATTGAAGCTATTAAAGTAATTGATATTTGTTCTCTCGAATGGTGATGTGTGGTATATCAATTAGAAGCATAAATATGGAAAATGGAGGAATCAAATAATTTAGATCTAGACCTCTTATATGTTGATGCATGACAAACATCTTTAAATTTGATGGACACCATTTTTTTGTTTTGTTTTTATTGATTTTGAAGCTTTTAAATGGATATTAGGTGCGAATGATTTTAAGTGTTGAGGGTATGAGGGTAACCATTGTCATTGTACACATAGGCATTAACTAGAGCTCCATTTAAATCTGGATCTAGGTTTTCATTATCAACAACACCTTTCCTCAAATTTCAATGGAAAAAGATTATCCACTAGTGTGAACAGAATGTACGTTGTTATAATGTGTATAGACTTGAAAAGATATTGTTCTTACATGTATAGAATAAAAACATGTTTCTATTATGTGTATACAATTGAAATGTGTATAAAATCATGTCTTTTTATAGGTTGAGATTATGAAATATAATTAAGTATTTTGTATTGAATCATTCTCATTAAATATTTTGATATAATTATGTGTTTTTTTATACTTAGTTAATCGTAGACTTTGTAAGTGTGATCGTTTTATGGATAATACACGTTTGCATGTTGCTAACTTAGTTAAATTCCCTTATGAAAAATAAAGGGACACCTTCTGTAACTTGATACGTGATTTTTTCATCTCTTAATTTCCTCATATAGTATCTAATAGACGTCGTTAGTAACTTAAGTCCAGCTTCAACAAATTGGTAGTTACTGATTGAAGTATTCAAGATTTGGGAGCATTTTAGTTCTACCTAAATGTTCATTTCACTAAAAAAACAGAAGAGACAATAAGTTTCTTGATTCGATCTTAATACCCACAAAACCCATATGCGAGTTCCTAAAGTTGTTGATTTTTTCTTGACTTGAATCTTATATTCATGGAATTGCCATTGATGACCTTCGTTTTTTACTTTGGGTTATTTTCTATTTACGCAACAGTTACGCTTACACAATACCACCCATCTATATTGTGTTAGGTTTTTTCTATAATAATAACGAACAAAAACACATAGAAAAAGAGACAAATAGAGTTTCTTGATTTTTTTTGAGGTGATTTGGTGCGATTTTGACAGAAAAGGGTTGGGTCTAGGATTTAGATCTCGATTCTCCCAACGCCATAAACCACCACCATCTTCATATCCGCCACCAAGGGCTTCAACATCTATATATTTGAGTTTGTGTTCATATTGTTTCTAGAAGTGAAATTGATCTTCAAGATCCGAGTTTTTCCAAAAATCAATGATATGAAGGGGTTGGGGGTCGATTTGTGGATTTAAATTGTTTTTTATTAATATAAGTAGTTAAACATTAAAAAATAATGGCAAAAATAAATTAAAAATGTAAAATAGACATTTTAATTTTGACATGAACCAAATCCACAAAGAAAACTTGCTCAAAATGACAATTTATATAAATCCGTCATTTTAAGAATTTTTAAATATTTTAGACAAAACCCGTAATGAAACGCTTACTTTGGATAATTGGTACTAGTAGTCCAAAATTTTTTGAATCAAAGTGGCAATTTTCGGCTAAACACAAAGATCGTTTTTGCAGTTTTGTCTTAATACTATGATAAGATTTGACACATAATAGATTGTCGCTAATTATATTAGTGACTAGGAGAAAAGAAAATTGTTTATTTACAAATACTCAAGCAATTGTTGTTAGCGACGAAACCATGATAGAAACCACTTGATTCCAACGGATTAGTAGCAACGGATTTCCAACGGAAATTTCCATTTACGTAAAATAAATCTGAGCCTTGACGATACGGGCAATGTGTGGTCGCACACCCCACACATCCTTATGACGATGATAGATTAACTAAACTAACATATCATTTCAATAAATAGTTGAATGTATTTGTTCTACATTTTCTTGAGTAAGAACCTAAATAGAAAAATAGGCTACACTATAGATTGTTTAGTTGGTTTTTCAATTTCTTAGATGATTAATCATGAATAAAGATGAAATGCATGTTGATAAGAATATTTATCTGGAAGCCTCCACTAAGAGGGACTCAATGAGTGATGTTTTAATATCATGGGATCCCTTACCCACCCCATCTCGTAACATGGACAGATTCTTTCACATGAACACTATCAAAGCCAATACAACATATGCTTTAATAATATTAATTGACAAAGTGTACCATGTTCTACAATCACATTATCAATTATCTCTACTAATTTTTAAAATCAAACTGATATTTTATTTATTTCAAACTTTTCATACTTTTGTATCATCTAAAACCAATATCCGAAAAGATGTAATTTTGTAACATTGATTCTATTTTACTAAAAGCAAATAAGTGTGAAATCTAAATCTATAACCTTTTGGGAGAATCGACGCATGTGTTAGCAACTTAAATGATCATGATTGCTATTTTTTCTTGTGTAAAGATTTCGTTAAATAAAATTGTTCTTTTATTTTTTAAATATTTGTAAGGATTTGAAAAGCACTGGCCTTTTTATTCATTTCTTTGAAAAAAGTCGTTACAGGAATATTTTCACCGTGAAAGCAATTACCAAATTTCCGACTTTCACCATGAAAGTCAATTTCTCACACTCGATCAGTTTCAAGATGATGTTTATTTTATTTGAAGGTTAAACATTCTGGAAAAAAATCTGTAAATGACTTTAAAATAGAAGGTCAACCATTCTCAAATGACATTCTTAAAAACTTTTTCGTAGAATGTTTTATTTGTTTATCTATTTATTTATTTATCATTATTATCTTCTGTTAAAGAGTGAAAAGATTTAGTATTTTTACAGCATTTGGGACGATGATCGCAATAAATCACCGGTTCGTATTTCTTTGTCTGATCGATTATGTCTTCAGAACTGTTGGGAAGAACGTAAAAAAGGAACAACATGGTGTAATGTGAGGGGAGTAAAAAGACAAAAATTTGCTAATGTGAGGGGCTGATGTGGGCTTTTAACGGAGGGGGGAAGGGGAACGACGGTAACATGCACAAGGACCAAGTGTGATGCATTTTAAAACTTTGAGGATGAAAGATGCTAAAGTTTCAAAACATAGACTAAAAACTATGACAAAATACTAACCGCCTGAACCAAACTGTAATTTTCTCTGCTGATTAAAATTTAAACACGAAGATTACAGAAAAGTTAATCTCTATTTTAAGTTTTTACTCCATTTCTCTCACCAATCAACTTGATATGATTATATTATACGTGATTCTAATTATTAAAAAACATGAACATATATGGCTGGGTTTATGTTTCTATTTTTACATGATTCTAATTATTTTTTAGAACGGCTTTTCATTGCATAGATGGAACACCCTGCAAAATACAAGACCACCCTGGAGATGGACCCACTTTTTGAATAATTGATGTACCCTTATTAATCAATCATCACTCCCCTCCCTCACTCCATGAGAAGAACACGAACACCACCGATTTCCTTTCATCGTCCCCTCCGTCATCTCCTGTAAACCTGAGTCCCTGAGCCAACATGAGACTTGCCAATTAAATTCATCGCAATCATCATCCATACTCTTTCGTTTGCAGAAATGGAAGCCAATATGATCACCATTGGCCTCCTCCTTCTCCTTCCTCTTGTTTTTGCTGAGGGAGGAGTTTCCACTTCTGCACCCAATGATGAAATTTCGTCACTTCTCTCTATCAAATCCGCCATTGTCGATTCCTTAAGTTATCTCACAGACTGGAACTCCTCATCGTCTTCATCCCACTGCAACTGGACTGGAGTTTCATGCAATGATAATGGCTTTGTTGAAAGGCTTGATCTTTCAAACATGAATCTCACCGGAAACATTTCCGAGGATTTCCAAAACTTCCATCATCTTTCTTTCCTCAACATTTCCTCAAATGGGTTCACCACTACTCTCCCAAAATCACTCTCGAATCTCACTTCGCTCGTTACCATCGACGTTAGTCAAAACGATTTTGTCGGAGAATTCCCGGAAGGTTTCGGAATGGGAGCAACAAGCTTGAAAACCGTCAATGCATCCAGCAACAATTTTTCCGGGTTCCTCCCGGAGTATCTCGGAAACGCAACATCACTAGAGACACTTGATTTTCGTGGTAGTTTTTTCGTGGGGTCAATTCCGAAAAGTTTCAAGAGCCTGCAAAATTTGAAGTTTCTTGGGCTCTCCGGGAACAACCTCACCGGAAGCATTCCACCGGAGATTGGTCAGCTTTCTTCTTTGGAGGTTATCATTATTGGTTACAATGAATTTGAAGGCTCTATCCCGCCGGAGATCGGTAACCTTACCAATCTACAGTACCTGGACTTGGCAGTCGGAACACTCACCGGTGCAATCCCGCAAGAACTTGGTAGGCTTAAAAAGCTCACCACAGTTTACATCTATCAGAACAGATTCGAAGGCAAGATTCCTCCAGAAATCGGAAATCTTTCGTCGCTTGTTTATCTTGATCTCTCGGATAACCGTTTTTCCGGTGAGATCCCGGAAGAGATAGGTAATCTGAAAAGCTTAAAGTTATTGAATCTGATGTGTAATCAGCTAAATGGTTCCATTCCAAGTACCATTGGTGAGTTGCCAAATCTAGAAATACTAGAATTATGGAAGAACTCATTAACAGGTTCACTGCCGGTGAAACTTGGAATGAATTCGCCATTACAGTGGTTAGATGTTTCTACAAATATACTAACCGGCGAGATCCCGGCTGGTTTGTGTGATTCCGGGAACCTCACCAAACTCATTCTCTTCAACAACTCGTTTTCCGGTCCTCTCCCGATTGGTCTGTCAACTTGTTCTTCATTAGTTCGAGTTCGCATCCAGAATAACCTCATTTCAGGTATGATTCCGGATGGGCTCGGTAACTTACCAGAACTACAACGATTAGAATTGGCACATAACAATTTCAGTGGCAAAATTCCTCATGATCTCACTTTATCAAGTTCTCTTTCGTTCATCGACGTTTCCTCAAATCATCTCGTATCAGGTTTGCCATACAGCATCTTGTCAATCCCGAATCTCCAAACCTTACTTGTTTCAAACAACTATTTAGACGGAGAAATACCGAGTCAGTTTCAAGACTCCCCGTCTTTATCTGTACTTGATCTCTCAAGCAACAGTTTCTCCGGGAAGATCCCTGAGAACATAGCTTCATGCCAGAAGCTAGTGAATTTGAATTTAAGCCGCAACCGATTGACGGGAGAGATCCCAACAACGGTGGCAAGTATGCCGATGCTATCCGTTCTTGATCTCTCAAACAACTCATTTGTCGGACGGATTCCAGAGACTTTTGGAAGCTCACCGGCGTTAGAAACTGTAAATCTCTCGTACAACAAGCTGGAAGGACCAGTCCCGAGTAACGGGATGCTAATGACGATAAACGCAAACGATCTTGTGGGAAACGACGGGCTTTGTGGAGGCATACTTAAGCCTTGTTCCCACACGCATACCAAGGATTCTACACGCAAGAAACTTCACCTTCGTCATGCCATTTTTGGATTCGTTTTTGGTGTTTGTGTGATTATTAGTGTTGGAATCTTGGTGTTAATAGGTCGGTGGCTTTACCAGAGATGGTTTTTATATGGTTTTTTCGACGGGTGGCTTATGAAGACCAGTAAGGAATGGCCATGGAGGCTCGTTGCATTCCAAAGACTTAACTTCACAAGTGCAGATATCATGGCGAGCATCAAAGAATCAAATGTCATCGGAATGGGTGGAAGTGGGGTGGTGTACAAGGCCACCACCCACCATCCACCGCATTCCACCGTTGCAGTCAAGAAACTATGGCGGTCAGAGCCGGATATAGAAAACGGTGACGACCTGTTTGTAGAGGTGAATCTTCTTGGCCGATTAAGGCATCGAAACATAGTGAGGTTATTAGGGTACCTCCACAATGAAGCTGATGTCATGATGGTCTACGAGTATATGCCTAACGGGAACCTCGGGCAGACGTTACACGGGAAGCAATCGGGCAGAATGTTGGTCGATTGGGTCTCGAGATATAATGTTGCTTTAGGTGTTGCTCACGGGTTGGCTTACCTTCACCATGATTGTCACCCGCCCATCATTCACCGTGATGTCAAATCCAACAACATTCTTTTAGATGCGGATCTCGAGGCACGGATCGCAGATTTCGGATTGGCGAGGACAATGGTTCGAAAGAACGAGACTGTCTCAATGGTGGCCGGATCTTACGGATATATAGCTCCCGGTTGGTTCCTTTATCTCCTATCCTTTGGGGTTTATTCTTTTAAACATAACGAGCTTTGTGTTAAACATTTAATCTGGAAAAATATACATGACTCTTAAAGATCAGACGACACTTCCTGATCTTAAAAGATCAGACCGGTCCGGTCCAAGCCAGCCTGACTTGGACCGGTTGTGGTCAGATTGGACTATAGACTGATCCATGTGCACCTCTACTTGCTATATATCATGAATTCAAGTAATTAATCTTGTTGTTAAATGTCTTGTAGAATACGGCTACACCTTGAAGGTGGATGAGAAAAGCGACATATACAGTTTCGGGGTGGTTCTTTTGGAGTTGTTAACAGGGAAACAACCATTGGAGCCATCGTTTGGTGAGTCGATTGATATTGTGGAATGGGTCCGAGGTCGGATGAATCGTCGAGACTTGGAAGGTATATTGGATCAAGAAATAGCAGGGGAATGTAATTATGTGCAAGAAGAAATGCTTCTGGTGCTAAGAATTGCACTTTTGTGCACTGCCAAGTTACCAAAAGATAGGCCTTCAATGAGAGATGTGATCACAATGCTTGGAGAGGCAAAGCCAAGAAGGAAAAGTGTTTGTAATGATCTTGGTGCCAAAGAGAAACCCATTTTCAACAACTCACCGGTTATTGGTCTTTTGTAAGTTGGAATGTGAAAAGGGTAAATAGTTGAGTTTGTTATATTAAATAGTTGAGTTTGTGACATTGAAAGTTGAAACAAACTTTGTGTAGTACGCATTGTATTATGTACAAATTTCTGAATTCTTTTTCTATGCTCATGAATGAATCGTATAGCAAGAGCACAAGAAAGCAGTTAGCACGAAATGGAAAGAAACGAGAAAATCTTTAATTTGTATTCTGTGTATTTTCTTTTAAACTAGATCCAGTGACATATGTGAACTATTTATGCAAGAGATACAGTTTAATGAGATGTTATTATGTTAAACAACATCAACTACATCTGGAATATTCCCTTACATCCCTCTGTGAAATCTATCAAATCATCGAGCACCAATAGGACATACCAAACTACTAGATATTATGCTAGCACATGGTCATGAATGAAGAGTAGATACAGGATTGGTTGCAACTTGCAAGGCATATAGCTTTAATGTTGTCACATCAAGGCGTTGGTACACAAGATAAAAGAGTCCGACGCTCTGGATAAGAGAAAAGCATATCTCAGTGGGAAAAGGGTAAGGGCAGGATACTGAGTTGGCATTGGCAAACCAGAGTATAACAAAAAAAAAAAAAAAAAAAATTGTCTACATCTAGCAATTTAAAGGTAATGATAATCTACTGTCTATTATGATAAATAAAGATAATTTTGCCACATGTGAATCTCTAATCAGTTTCGACACTTGTCATTTTGTGATATCTTTTAAAGAAATAATATCCACATGTCAATTTATGTTTTTTTTCAATTTTTAAAATTAAAAAGCCACATAATACTTATATTTATATATGTAAACTATCAAATGTAATAAATATTATACTAAATTGCAATTAATATGTTTCTTATTTCAAAATTTCATTCTTTAATTCAAAATTTTATTTTAAAAAATACTTATTATTTACATTTTAATATTTTATTTTTTTATAATACACGAGTTTTACACCTAGTTGTTATAAAATATAAACAAAGTTAAGTTCTATACAATCTTAATAAAAAATTAGTTAATTATAAAAAGTAATTTATAAAAGTTATCATATTTGGAGAATATTTATACCCCAAAGACAATTTTTTTTTCAATGGTTAATGTCATAAAATTCGTTATTTATATGTAATCGCTATTGTGTGGGCATTAGCGGCGACATGTAACGCGTCAATTACATGTCGCCGCTAATGTCTTGTGTCGTCGCTAAAGGCATCGCCGCTAGTGCCCATCTTTCTTGTAGTGTACCACTAAAAAATAATTATCTTACTTATGTAAACTAACAAAAGAGAATTGGGGTTTTCATATTGATAGTAATAAATGTTACAAAAGAGAAAGCTAGAGAAAACAATATAAATAGAGAGAACAATGGACTACGGTTTGCTAAAGGGCTAAACAAGACCCAAAACACAAAATGAGCCCAAACAATCTATTAGGCTAACATATTCCTTCAAACTCATAATGCGGCGTCAATAAGCATTGAGAGTTTGTCAGATAAAAACTGAAAGTGATAAGCAGTCAAAACCTTTGTAAACATATCAACAATCTGTAGGGTTGATGGAATATGTGGCAAAGAAATGGTCTCAAGTTGAAGATGATGATGAATGAAATGACAATCAATCTTTATATGCTTTGTCCGCTCATGAGAAACCAAATCCTTGGCATTATGTATCGCACTTTTGTTGTCACACTGCAAGGGAGTGGGTTGAGAAGTATCAACTCCTATTTTAGCAAGAAGCCAACGTAGCCAAATAATCTCACAAGTGGTGACGACCATAGCTCGATACTCAGCTTCGGTAGAGGACCGAGAGACAACATTTTTGTTTCTTACTCTTATAAAAAATCAATGAATCTCCAAGGAAGATGCAAAACCCTGTGGTGGATTTGCAATCATGAGAATCACTATCCTAATTAGCATCTGTAACACCTGGTTTGAATTGGAAAGGATTTGAGCATGGACTCGGCGAGTGGGAAGCTCAACTCGTCGAGTAGGGTCGTATTTCAGGGGCACGAATCGGAAGTGACTCGGCGAGTCAGAAGACTGACTCGACGAGTCAGGGCTATTTAATGAAAAACCCTAATTTTGGGGTTTGCCCCTATATAAGCCTCATTAAACACTCTTGTAGCCTCCCTTAACATCATAAGAGACTGTGTACGGCCGCAAACTCCCTGGTGTATGAAGTGTGTGCATTTGAGATCTTGACTTTGGGAATTTTTGTGAAGGAATCCAAGCTTGGAGAAGAAGAATCAAGGGGAAAACACTGGATCTAGCATCTAGTTCGTCTTGGGCATCAAATTGAGGTATGAATCTGTTACCTTAAGCCTATATTCTAATTGGGAGTTCATGACCAAACTTTGAGGAAATGGAAGCAAGCCTAGATCTGGACCTATCACAAGGGTATGGTTCCAGATCTGAAGCTCACTAGGTCCCAAATATCATAAAGTTGCATGCTTTATAAGCTTATTCCCTCCTCATGAATGAAAACCTTGTTGGAGGATTAGTTTTGGTGTTTACGGTTATGAAAGGCCCTACATGCACGTAAAGTTTGTAACTTTACGTGAAATCTACAATAGGAGATGATGGATCTAAAGTTTGGGACCTTAAGTCCCACTTGAAAGGACCATAATCATGATGAACTTTGGGGGACTCGACGAGTCGTGCAAGTGACTCGGCGAGTCTAGAGGGTTTTCTCGTTTACGGCCAAGGGTTTACGGCCAAGGGTGTACGGCCAAGGGTGTTCGGCCAGGGGTGTACGGTCAAGGGTGTTCGGCCAAGGGTTTACGGCCAAAGGTATACGGTTGGCGGTTTACGGTCTTAAACACCAAGGAACTCGACGAGTCCCTTGGGTGACTCGGCGAGTCGACGAGTCAAGCAAGGAACCCGACGAGTGAATGATTGTACTCGACGAGTCGAGGTCAATATGGACTGTTGACCTTGACTATAGACTTTGACTTTGACCAGGGTTGACCCTGGGGGTATTTATGGGACTATGCTGAGATATTTACTCATTGATTATAACAGTTTGGGAAGAGCAGCACAGGCATACCTGAATCGAGTTTTCCAGTTCAGCGTTTGAGAGGTGAGTCTTCTCACCATACCAATGGGTCTAAGGCACCAAGGCCGGCCCATTTTGTGATAGTTGGTTTACTTGTTATGTAGAGGTGTGATATGTATTTGTGCATGATATGTGGTAGAGATAGCCCTTGTGGCTAACGGTAGAGATAGCCGTATGGCTAATGGTAGAGACGGCCTTATGGCCAATGGTAGAGACAACCTTTATGGCTGATGGTAGAGATAGCCTTTGTGGCTAACGGTAGAGATAGCTTCATGGCTAATTGACATGTGATATGTGGTAGAGGTAGCTCTATAGCTAATATGATATGTGTTTTGTGTGGGGTATGCTCTGGGGGACTCACTAAGCTTTCAACTTACCGTTTGAGGATTTGTTTCAGGTACATCGGAGTCCAAGGGTAAAGGCAAGGCGTGATGATGCGGCGTGCACTCTATCTCTCTTTTCCAATCTGATTTGGGGGACACTTTGATGTTTTGAAAATAATAATGTTGTAATGTTGATGGTTTTGAAAACAATTATTGGAATCTTTATGTTTTATGAAAATGGTTGACTAATTAAAAATGAAAATTTTCTTTGTAAAATTTGGGTCGTTACAAGTTGGTATCAGAGCCTTGGTTTGAGGGATTCGGGCATACTCTCGGGTGTGTCAGGCTTCAAACTAAGGAAAGGGTGAATTTGTTTTCATAAATAACATAAAAAGCTTTTGAAAGAAGGAAAAGATGAGATTGCAACGCGCGTGATCAGCCGAGCCAAGTAAGTATATCCCCAATATGCTAGTCATGCTATTTTGATATTTGAACTTGGATGATCGTATGGAATTTGCTATGTGTATGCTTTTAAAATTATATACGGTTAGGAGCTTATAGCCTTAGAATGATCAATTTGGCCTTACTTCCTGTTCCTTGTTTAGTTGTGGTCCTAGGGTAGAATCTTTTATTCGAAAGTCTATTTTATCCTCTTTTGTGTATAATTTGCATGCATGAAGGCAACCTGTGATGATTGGTCTGTTTGATGTGGGTAGAGGAAATCTTAGAACAGTCTAGGATGTAGGTTACGCGGTGGTTGGTAGTATATGGTTTATTTGGGACGAATTGGAATTATCAAGTCGAGCCTTGGGGAAAGGTACAGGTAGGGGTGAAAGGTAGTATTGGGCCCGTACTACTGGAAGCACAGGACCTGTACCCAAGCCAATGTTAGATCCGACAACTTCAAGGAGGGCCGGTGTGGAGAGATCCGTTTTATGAGAATCCTGATCGTTATGATTTATGATATTTCAGTTCAGCATGGTAGTGACACGTTTCGGGGCGGGAGGATCAGGATCGGGATCTGGATCCGGGAATAGATCGGGGGACACCACAGACGGCATAGATGAGAGGCTGCGTGAGCTTATTGCAGCCGAGGTTACTAGGGGCATCCTTGATGCTACCCCAGTCATTTTTGGGACGATCAAGGAGGGCATAATGGAGATCATGGAGGAGAGACTCAGATCATTCAAGACTGAGATTGTTGCGGGTCAGTTGGGGGCCCGAACTCCCTCGTTTCGGGAGTTCAAGGCGTGTGGGGCGCCAGAGTTTTTCGGGGTCAGGGACCCCATTGTCAGTCGACGCTGGGTGGCGGATATCGAAAACGCCCATCGCACGAGTTCTTTCCCGGATGTGGCAAAGTTTGGGTTTGCTTCTTGTATGCTGAGAGACAGAGCCCGGGATTGGTGGTGCGAGGTTACCAGACAGGTGGGACCAGCCGGGGTGGCTGAGATAACGTGGGCCGAGTTTGTTCAGCGATTTGATCTAGAGTTTGCACCACCCATTGAGGTGCAACGTTTAGTGCGAGAGTTTCATGATTTGCAGCAGACCACCGAGACTGTGGCGGAAATCACCGCCAAGTTTCGAGAACGAGCTTTGTTGATTCCGCAATACGCTACCGATGAGGAAATAAGGCGGACCCGATATCATTCCATGCTGAGGGACAATATTCAGGAGTTTGTGAGCTTTATGGGGTGTAAGACCCTAAATGAAATGGTGGAGAAGGCCTGGGAACGGGAAATGGAGTTGGAATCCCGCACGAAGCGGAAGCCTGAGCAGGCTCAGGCAGTAGTAGGACAAGCTAAGAAGCCTAAGACGTCAGACGCTTCCAGCAAGGGTCAGCAGGGTCGGAGCCTATG